GGAGGCAAAAACAAAAGTGTTGCATTTATAATTTTGTTCAGTGTAGCTAACTAAAACTAAAACCATAAAAAAATAAACATTAACTAAAATTAAATAAAATACAAAAAAAAAAAACTTTGTAACTTAATGTACTAAAATGACTAATAATAAAAATTAATAAAGACTATCTAAACACAAAAAAATAACAAAAATGCTAAAACTTTAAATATGGAGTAGTCATGTCCTCCTGATCACAATATGCTTTCATTTTATGGAAAAGAGCAGCTCCGGATTCTTATCTTATTTCATGTTCGCAAGGATATTGAAAGTGGTTTTAAAGGAGGTCGGGGGTAAACCTTTCTCTCTAATGGAAGGAAAAAGCAATCCCCAATAAAAAAAAACCCAATATAGAAAGAAATCCAATATGTGTGGCACACAGATAAGTCACCCTCATCGAGTTGATTGAAGAAGGTCATGCCGTAAAGGTTGACTGTAATTCATCTTCCTCAGTATCTGTAATAATCAAAATAAATCCTTTGCATCATGTAAAGTGTCGTTCCCAAAGGCTAACTTTCACATGAGGTGGGGTTTTCAGGGGAAAAAGTGAGCAATGCTGCATGAAGATGTGGTCACATTTTGTTGTGGAACTTGTGAGTCTCAGCTGGAGTTGAGTCTGGTTGTCAGATACACAAGAGGAACACAAACATGGGCGAGATCCCAGGAGTACAATTACAGCTCCACATGTACCATCCGTCCCTTTTACTGCAGGAGAGATTCTCTCTTAATCAAACGCCTCTGTCGACATTGAGTTTGGGGTTATGTGTGTGCATGTTTATATTTGCCTGAGACTTGTCAATGAGTGTGAAGTGCATGAAAAAGAGCTGAAACTGAAGATGTGTTTGTAAAGAACCTTCTAGGTGAAGTTGTGTTTGCTCAGACAAGTGACATTTTATCTGTTGCTTGGTTTCCTGCTCTGGGTCGACCTAAAATCCCTTTAAGGCAAGCCAGTCCACCCAGCAGCCATTTTGGTACAGCTCTTACCTACTTGAATAAAAATATCTGAAACGGTTTTAATAACATATTTCAAATAATCAATAAAATCGGACAACTGCAACAACAATTTTGTGTCTTCAGCTCAATTCACACTAAAAACTCACTAAACTCACACTATTTCTCAGGCTTGTCCGGTTCATGTGTATTCTAGAATAAACTCTATCAAAATGCAGATCAGCACCAGAGCCATAGCCTCATGGGCAGTGCTCTGACATATGGGTTAACAGTGCCTCGGGCAACTCGAGTTTGATTCCTCGAGATCTTTTCCCAGTCCTGTTCCTCTATCTCCTCTCCCTTTGTTTCCTGTTTGTCTCTTAGTATCCCATCATACTATCCCACTTTTTCAGCAGCCTTGGTTTTGGAAGTATTTCTCCCATAGGGGTTAAAAAAAAGTATATGTAAAAGAGTTAGAAGTCATGAACTAAACCAACCAGCTACAATGTGAATCACTACATTACAAACTTTAATTTGAAGCAAAAATATTTGATGTTTATTGACGTCATTTGCAGTGCTTTCTCAGCAATGGGTGGGCACTAAATTACTCTGATTTGTTGTGATTGTCTGATTGGTGGAGATTACTTAAAAACTAAGTTAAAGTAATGCAGTTTTATGGCTTCATCAAAACCATATTTCACTGGTTACCAACATTCCAGCTCATTGTAGGTCTGTCTTTAATGGTTGATAAGTTGTCATAAAAAAATCTATTGCTCTATGGAGATTTTTGCTTCCGGAATTTGACTGTTGCACGGCATTGTAGCCAGGGATGGGCAGTATTTATGATACATGTATTTCAAATACAAATCTAACATTTATCAAACTTTTTTTTTTTTTTTGCGCTAATCAGTGCAGATTGTCCTTAATGGCCCTTATGCCAGAGTCCAATATCTCTGGAGCATATTTTGATGGTTGCTAGTTTTTGTTTGATTCTTAGGAAACATTTTTAACATGTTAACCTGCACCCCCCATCCAAATCAATATTTGATTTGTATCAAAATACTTTAGTGTTTTGTATTTTTGTAGTTTTAAAATACTGTAAAATACTTTGTAAGAAGTCTACATGATGACATCATAAAAATGCGGCCTCTGATGGGTGCCTACTCAATAGGCTAGTTTGCCCAGACTTGTTGAGATCAGAACAGAAAATTGATGCATATGGAAGAAGTTGGTCAAGGTAAGAAACGTGCAGGCTGCCAGCTTTACATCAATTTTTTAGCATAAATTGCTATAATTTTTAACAGTTCATGTTAAGTTTGTGTTCGTTTTAGTAGCCTAGGCTAAACAGTTTACCAATTTACATAATGCTGTTGAAAACTATTATACCGAGCAGCAGCCCCACAATTAACGTTAGCTTGCTACTTTCAGCCTATGTTAAGTTCATCGGTTGTACACGAAAAAAATAATAATACAACGTTTCAGTGTTGTACAACATTACATTTTAATGCCACGATATTGGTGTAATGGTCTAAACTCGTGTGGAGCAGCAGCATTTACTGTGAGCCGCTCTGAGACACGGATATGACCGCGTGTGAAAGAGCATAGCAGAGCTGCACACGGCAG